ATGATCCTTACCTGTTGTGAATATCGCTTTCAAGTAGTTGTCCTGGAGCAACCAAATGAACCGAGTACTTTTCTGCCAGTCCTAATCACCCAATATAACAAAAAATGTACAAATTGTGCCATGTACAAATTTTTGCATCTAAAGGACCTTGCATCCCAATAGAACAGAAATCCTTTCTTTCTGCGCAATTTTTATTTACAGTTTACATCTACTAACGCAAATACAAATAAGATAGAAAATAGATTCAGTTGTGTTTACTTATATTAGTATAATAATTGCTTTCATAAATAGCAATTCATGTTAATATTAGTGAAGTCAAATATTTTGCATTATATTCTCTTGGAGCCGGTTGCATTGAACTCGTACTAAAGCTGTTGGGGGGTTTTTTGCTAACTAAATTCGTATTTAGTTGATTCTGAAATTAATAATTCTGATGGGCGTATTCTCAACCAACCATATATGGTTAATATTAGACAACTTTTTTAAACAACCGGCTCCTGGCTGTCTCAAATTGTGCACATAAATTTCTATTTTGGTATAATCAGATCACATTAGTTTAACTATTATATAGTGAATAAAAATTCTAAATTGTTTTGCGCACAGCGCCCATTATTATAATTAGTTAATGCGCCGCACTTCGTACGACATTTATGAAACGATGATTAGTCCTTCATCTATAGAAATCTGGTCTTCGTGTTTCTAGTATTCGAAGATATAACAATCATTCGTATTTTAATCTTCTCGTTTTGAAAATATATTTCTATTCAATTCCGAATCCTTTCAATTAAGAGAACTCGCGCCTGGAGAGTGTAACGCCGTGTGTATGTCGAAATCTGTGACATAGATGCGTAGAATCATTTTAATACACGTTTGGCATGTTGTATGGTGTCATGGTGATTTTCTGGGTTGTTAATTAATTAAGGCGTGTTTCTCATTTCGACGGATAATTCTCGTATCATCTCGGCAGATATCTCTCTTCATCTTGTATTCTTCCAGTTGTTGATCATTTTCATGCAGACTGACTCTCACATGAATTGCTGTCGAATTTCTTGGTTATTTGTGGCTCTTTCTGACCTTTCATTTTCTATGACTTAAAAATATATCTAGTACTTTGAATCACCACCCACTATACCTCTACCATTATGAAATATATCTTGAATTGAACTTCAAACGATTTTTCACTTCAAAAAATAATGAATTTCAATCTTCATTTTTATGCGACGTGATCATACAGTAGACTCACGTGACGGACTACGATGTCTGTTCACGTGTTCGCCTGGTGGTTCACCCACGTGATTCGCAATCATTTCCGGTTCCTCGTATGTGGGTACTATTAGTACCGAGGTCTCCGCTTCGTCGCCGTCTTCTCGGCTATGACGTTTTTTCACGTGATTGCCTTTGACGTCATTTTTGTCTATGTCATCCGCTGGCTTTCGAATCGGCTCAGATTTGATCCGTCGCTTGGTCCCAGTCTTTTTGCAATCGTTTGCATGCACGTCAGGGCTAGCTAGGGATAATGTGGACACTAGAGGTGATCCGGGAGGAGTGCAAAATGATGAGGAACTTCTAACTTCTTGTCCTAAAGGTTCCCCATTGTAAGTGTATTCCATCTCTGTGAAATATCGGGACTGAAAATAAAGATGTAACAAATTAAGGATGTAACAAATTAAGGATGTATATAGATGTAGATAAATGCTCTAGATACTTTGGGAGTATTGCTGGCAGAGTGATTCTTCAATATGTAGTTGTCTTATTATATTTCTCCCCAGTCACATGTGAGCCGGGCTCCTGTATCACTCTTTCAGATACCACGAGGTTTTATCCTGCGGTAATAATGGCCAATTTAAGATGGTCGTAATTGGATTATCTGGCGGACTAACTATCCAGTATTTATTTTCGTTTTTCTTATGTTTGCTTACCGTGGCCTTCTCCAGGCATCGTATTAGATGTTCATGTTGTCTATCCAACATTGATTTCTCTCTATCCCTGGAGGTGACTTGTTGAAGTTCCAAACCAGCACCCTGTTGGAATCAAATGCAACATCAGAATACAGTACGCAATATGTAAAGCACCTTTGGAAAATTATTTCCAACGTTTTAGGGTCTACAGAACGCGGATAGAAGGCAAGGGGACAGATTCTTCATTGATTTGTATAGTCATAGACAAAGGTAGCCTTTCATATTTTTACTCACCATAGCGATGGACGTCACATCACCAGGAGTTACAAATGCTGTTCCAGTCATTGTCTTTGATATTGAAATCTTCGCTTTCTATATTGAAGGAAAATGTTCAATTATTAGCCTCTGAAGGATACAACTAGTTGACACCAATATCTATCATCACTGTAATACACTGCTATACCATCACCACCCTCATCACTATCCTCATAATCATCACCACCATCATTATCATCATTATTACCATCACCACCATCATTATCATTATTACATCATCATCATTACCATCACCACCTTCATTATCATCACCACCATCATTATCATCACCACCATCATTATTATCATCATTATTACCATCACCACCATCATCATCACCACCATCATTATCATCACCACCATCATTATCATCACCACCATCATTATCATCACCACCACCCTCATCACTATCCTCATCATCATCACCTCTATCATTACCAATCACCACCATTACCATCATCATCATCACCATCATTATCATCACCACTACCACCATGACTAACACTACTGTCAATACCACCATCACCCTTACCACTACTACCGTCATCATAACCACCATTATCACCACCATACCTTATGTGCCTTCCTCTTGTCTGCTCGCTGAGTCTGAAGATAAATTCGACTAAAGTTGGAAACAATGACAGGGACCGGTAGCGCAATAACGAGCACACCACTGAGTGAACATAAACTACCAACAATTTTACCAAAAACTGTTTCTGGCACCATATCACCATACCTAGAATACAAAAGATGAAAATATTTAGCAAATGGATCGAAGGCTTACGTAAGGCCTATTTCACACGACGAACTTATCACCATCTGCTTTCGAACGTTTCTCTGCGCGTTTTAATTGGATGGAAACAATGATGAACGAAAATGTCATTCCTTTTTTAATAGAAAAAATAGAGGCTGATGCTCAGCAATTTTAGGGTAATTGTGGTTCGAAGCCCAATTAGAACTTCAAGCACTCAACATATATTCAAGCTGTTTTATATGAATTATTTTAATTTCGCGTCCCCTTTTCTATCCTTACGTACAAGGGTTTAACATTCTCCTTTTAAAGTTAATTATATAAATTATACGTTGGCGAAAATTATAGTCAATAATTTCCCAGCGTGTTGTGTCTGTAGCCTAGTGTTTTGTTTGCACTCATTAACAGACCACGTTATATATAGAGATATTAATATAAACATCGACAAAACTAACCAAAAATTGACAAAGTGTGATGGCACCCAGCCGAGCCAGTTTGACCGTTATTAAGAGGCTAATAACAGCATAATTTTGGCAATATGTGCTGTTAGTTTTACGTTGAAATGATTTTTGTTGCATTCGATTCAAACAAAGGATAAGTTTTTGTAATTGTTTTTTGGTGTTAAAAGGCAGGACAATACATGAACCACAGCACAAATGTGTTTATAATGAAAGAAAACGGATTTCGTTATTTCACAGTCTGAGAAGCGGTTCGTTATGAGCTCATTTTAAGGTGCAACTTTAAGTCACAATTTTTAATAGACGTCATCGAAAAGCCTAGCTTTATAGAACGTCCTGCTTAAATTTTATACGGTTTTAATATTCACCAAAAATGGTTTTACTCATGTTTAATTAAGTGCTAAATTGAAAACGTGCAAATTTTCAATTGACAATGTACAAATTTGCAATTGCAAATGTACAAATTTCGTACAAGTAGCAAGCTGAGTCTTTAAAACACATATCACCATGTATCTTTAAGCTTTGCATAGCTAATGTTTCTAATGGAACTATTTTCAGACAATAATTGATAATTAAAGTGCTAAGTATTAAAAAATCTTTTATGCTGGCTCCTGAAATAACAGTTTGCTTAAAAGCAATTTTCCTCCCTAATATTTCCTGTATTTGAAATCAAAAAGCTTTCTAGTTATTAATCAGTAATTTAAAACACGAACTTTTCAAACTATATACATGCAGTAAATAACTAAACAGCCACTAAATTATACATGGAACACATTTTCACATTTCGACTCCTAACAGACGAAATTGAAAAAAAAAATCTTCGTTTGCTTTGCTTTGTAGACCAGCGATGATCTGTAAACTAAAGGTTTTAAAATATTTTCCTCACAAACCGCAAATTAGACAGAAAAAACGCGTGCTTTGTTAGGTTTCTTCAGATTATAATACACAGCAATTCAGCTTTTACCGATAGCAAATTGCTATACAAACACGATGTGTCGATTTTTTTTAAAATTTATCTGGAACATATCTTCTATAACACAGCTATGACTCACTCTAGCTATATCTCCCATGAAGTACTATTAAGAAATGCTCTAGACATTAGATTTTAACAAATGGACAGATAATTGTGTTCATGTTTTCAAGTAATTCATTCATGCAAGAATAATGTCTAATGATAACAGAATGGAAAAGAGGCGCCTGTGAGGTAATATTTTAAATTCGACCTAATCAACCTGCCAAAATATTTGGATAATATTTGGTTGCTTGAATTTTAGATCAGCACTTCTTTTTCGACACGAAACTCCAACTGCGGTTTTTTAAACAAACTGTGTAGCAAACCAATGCTATTTTTTAAACGAAATCGCCCTATCTTGGCATTATCAGTTATTCTTCCAGCCTCTATATCATTCCGTAGACAAGTTAGCATAAATTTACCCTTGAGATTAATGTTTAATATGTTTATGTTCCCCAAAACGCCTTTCCTCTACGTTCATTGGTCAATGCAAGAACCGCGGCTTCGTAATGATGCTCAACTTTCAATGATTTATTTATATCGGACACCTGTCGCAACTTTTGAATGAGAAATGTAAACGAACAAACTTTATGATCAGAAAACTAAAGTTTTCTCATCCCAATTTATAAAACTTAGCCGTGGAATCGTAGACCCTTACACTCAAACCAAGTTATAATTTGGTTTTTTTTCTCATTAAAAGCCTTTATATTTGCTGCAAAAAGACTTCAAAGTTAGCCTCATATTCTAATGTTTCTGTTTGGAGTTCTAATTTGGGTTTCGAACCAATTAACCCCAACCGAAACGCGTTCTTGCTCGAATTTTCCTTCGACATTGTTTCAATTATCACATTTGCGGCTTTTTTTCAAAAGCAGCTTCATAATGTAGCCTCAACATTTGATTCTTTTGAACTTATTTGATTTTAAGCTGGAAACCGCAAGTGGGCTAATGCTTGGCTGCTGTTGGGATATGTTATCTGTAAATGTTGGGTATGCGCGCCATTATCTCGGTCAAAATGTTTGATATGATGACCGCATTTTTGGATCCTCTGATACACCATTGATAAACGTTCTCTTGTTTTGCTAACAAAAGCGAGTGACTCATTCCTATATTAACGTAGCAGACAGACACGTTACCTAATGCGTCGCCGTCTGATTAAATTTCCAATGAATATTTGGGCAGTTGGACTTGGCTTATTAAGGATTTCATTAACTCCTGCAGTGCTTAAGGTTATTGTTCTATATTGAATTCAAAGCCTGCTTAACCAAAACATTGCAAATGCGAGCAAAATAATGGGATTAAAACTGTACTGTGACTGATAGTATTAAAATCTTTTACACATCCTATTTGTGCTAAATTTTGAGAAGCATAAATCAAAAAAGCTTTGTTATATTTTTGAAGCAATTTTATGCGTAGGCTAAGCAAATATAAAACAGGTTAGACACTGGTAATTTTTAAACCCTACAAGTAATCCAATTTCGAACGTTGAGTTTTGAAATTAAAAAATGAAAAGTAGTACATTTATTCACAATGTACATATATACGACTCAATGTACATATATCATGTAAATTGAGTCGAAGAAATATTAATTGAAATGATTATAAAAACCTTGCCAATTTTTTAGCATGTATAGTATATAATAACTTCATAGCTTTTTGCCAAATTCTTGACCCATATTATTTAAAATCTTCGCCCCATTTTAAGTTGAAACGAAGACTCCATATGTAAATAAAAATATTTGAAGTTTGCAAGCGAGTCAACATGCTAGTTACTATTTTTTCTGAGTTGTATGTTATGTTTATGTAAAGTGTTTATCGATGATAAACGTACACACTGTACAAACGCGCGCATAAACGAACAAGAATGTGCCATATTTTACACACAAACGCGCATAAAACATCGCTATACTACTTACCCTAAAGTTGTCATCGTGACAATTGTGTACCAGAAGCTTGCAGGAATACTTGTAAACTTTGTGTCTTTTTCGCCCTTCTCGACGTAGTAGACGATTGTGGCAAAAATGATGACAGCCATGGACAGCGAAAATAACAAGAATCCAAGTTCCGAGGCGCAACTTTTTAACGTGCATCCCAGAATCCGCAAGCCTTTGGAATGCCGTGAGAATTTAAAAATCCTAAAAATCCGGAATACTCTTAGCGTAACGAACGCACCGCTGATGGAATTTCCCGGCATGAATAGCCCAACATAGTAGGGTAATATTGCTACGACATCAATAATACTTAACAAGTCTCTTGCAAATTTAAATCTTTCTGGTGCCGCGTAGAGTCTCGCTATATACTCGACTGTAAACACGATGACACACGCAGATTCCATACCGAAGAACACTTTCTTATACGCCGTTCCGCAGTTCTTCCCATCTTTACAGGGCAATGTCTCGACTATAGTACTCAGCACGCTAAGTGCAATAAAAAATCCCGTTACATAGTACATAAACGCAGCTATTTTGGAGCTCTCGGGGTTTTGAAAAGCAACCCAAAGGCGTTCGCGTGCGTTTAGACCTGAAGTGTCCAACTCTTCTTCTTCGTCGGTTTTGTCTTCGAAAACTCGATCGATGCATTCCCGTTTTCTCTCGCTGAAATCCTCCCAACAGCAATCGTGTACGTGGTCTTCGGAAATGCCAAAAAATATAAGTTCATCTTCGAAAGAGGAGACGCACTCTCCTCGCGGGTAGTGGAGTTTACCATTACGATAGTAGTTTAGAACATGGCGAAATAGATCCGGATCTCTGTCAAAGAAATACTCTCTCGTTTCGGCCTCGTGAAAGTACTCCCTCTCCGCACTGCCTAACAGGGTATCAGGATAGCGTTCCAACGTATTCCTCCACGTTTCAAATTTTCTTCCCGAGACGTTAATAATAATTTTATCGTCGTCCCGTTGTGATTCGGGGGCCGGCGGCATCGGTGTTTGAGCGAGAGGCGCCCATCCGATGGCAGCCGCTCTTGCAAACGGGAGCCAAGCGCCAACATCGGCCGCCATTTTAGTTCAATCGCTTTAAAATACTTCTAGTTTTATTACAAATTGACTTCATCCATATTGTAAAACGCTCGCCGTCCGCATAACAGGTGCCATTAAAATACACACATATACGAGCTTCAGTTCTGCGTTTTAAACATCGTCTTAATTCTTTCTTGATTATTAACACTTCTGACACCCACACAGTTCTTCACCGCTTTATAGAAACGGCGCCGAAACAGAAGAATCCAATATAAACTCCTTTTCTTTATATGTTATCTTACTGCAAACATTGAAGACGCACTCTTACACTGAGTGAGACGTATGTTGTTAACAGATGCTTGGAAGAAATTTGCATTTTATCAACAAATACTTAAAAAAACGTCTGCCTACTCTCAGAATCCGCCGCTAAACCCCCACCCTTTTCCCAAAATAAAACCTAAATTATACTCCTTTTAATTTACACTCTTCAATAAGCCTTTCGCGTTTAATTTTGTCGAAAATTTTGGATTTAAAACTTGCTTTTCTGATTTATTTGTAAGTTCTCTTAACGCTGTCTTCAATGCAGGGTTATATGCAAATATCCGCGTAACTCCAGCAGGTTGCTTACAGCCGGCCAATCAAATGTCGAGTTCAGGCCTGATAGTTGTCTACTTAAAGCCAAAGTGGTTTTTCAAGAGAAAATAGAAATACCCGAAGTTTTTTTTATGCGATCCGCGTCGAAAGTTTTTTGATGCGAAAAAATAAAATATATATAGTTTTCATCTTTGTTTATCAAACGTGTTGGCCTTATATGTGTTTATCACGTTCATTAAACTGCAAACCTCGTTGACAATTCACAATTAGTTTCATAAATAATAAATACCTAAACCGTATTGTTGATATCGCTGATCTCATTTATTAACGCAAACTGGAGTATTCACTAATGATTCACTATAGAGAGTCATTCACCCCAGTATAAACCTGTCCGTACAGATCACACAGACGTGAGAATTTTTCCATGTTGGTGTAACGGTCGTTCGTACATGTGTCTTTCATCTCTGCGAGTGGAGTTTGTTTCATTAAGATTTCACCACATGTGAGAAGAATGCTTCCAGTTTGAGTAACACTTGACCAGTTCTGACAGTTTTCAACTTGCGATGAAGTTAACATCTCATTAATTATTCAATAACTTTACGTGGTATATTTCACAAGATATAGTGTTACTAAATAGTGCGTCATTGCATATAATTTATCTTAAAAAATTTCCTACTGAGTACAGTGAAACTATCCTACAGTGAAAAATTGCGCAAAAAGATACTAAAACTTGTGACAATATTAATGCCAGGTAGACGTCTGACTTGTTCTATCATTTGATTGGTCAATATTTTAGCTTGATGCTGATTGGTCGAATGCACTGCCCGCTTCTAGCTTCCGTTTTCGTCCGCCCTGCGCTTTTTGTTTTGGGTTTCATGAACGTGGTAGAAAAACACCTTCATAAGCAATTTCTAAGCCATGGCTGCCGACAAGGATATCAACAAACGGAGCTGTGTCATTTTGGAAAATTCAGAAAACCACCCTGGCCCTGTGGCCCACCCTCACTTTGAGGACCCGTCAGTTCAGAAATGTTCTGGTATTGACGTAACTCACAAGCCTATTTGTTAAACGTTGTCTCACCACAAAAGTTATCATCTTCACTTTCTGATGATTTGTTGTTTCGTACTACAGTAACACACAGTTCTGACAGGTTTCAACTCGCGATGAAGTTAATATCTAATTAATTATTCAATACGTTTACGTGATATATTTCACAATATAGTGTTACTAAATGGTGCACCATTGCATAATTTATCTTAAAAATATTTAAAACTATATCCTACAGTGAAAAATTGCGCAAAAAGATACTAAAACTTTGACAATATTTTTGCCAGAATCTGTGTCTGGCTTGTTCTATCATTTGATTGGTCAATATTTTAGCTTGATGCTGATTGGTCGAATACGATGCCCGCTTCTAGTTCCTTTTTCATTTTCGTCCGCTCTGCGCTTTTTGTTTTGGGTTTCATGAACGTGGTAGAAAAACACCTTCAAAAGCATTTTTTAAGCCATGGTTGCCGACAAGGAAATCGACCAACGTATCTTTGTAAAGGGTTTTCCACGCGAAACCACTGAAAACGAACTAAAAACATTCTTTGAAACGTACGGAACGGTGAAGCATGTGAATATCGTGAAAGACCATAAAAGTGGCCTGGCAAAATACGGATTTGTCACCTTCGAATCCAAAGATGTGCAGGAGACTTTGTGTCAGGAAAAGTCCATCAAATTTCAGGACAAAACCCTGTGCATTTGGAAGGCGTTTCGAAGACAGGGTTCCCCTGAAAAGAATGGCGACGGTGCGGCTCACGGGTTTAGGCGATACTTCCCAGCAAGGCAGTCGTCCTTGGATTACTCATCTTCCACAGCGCCAATGGCCTATTACGTCTGGCCCTTTTACAACCAAAACTCCATCTATGTTCCAGCCGTTCAAGCATCTACCGTTGCCCAGATATCCTCACCGAGTTACCAAGCTAGTTATATTCCGAGCAACCCTCAAGTTTTCACGACACTGATGCCTGGAAGCCCAAGTACATCGACCTTTGTTCAAAGTTTGAATTCTGCTGAGCAGTTCTTGCTTCCAATGCCGCGAACAAACTACGTTGAAGGTTACACAGACTACCAGACCATCCCCTCCATCATAACCCTGCCCATGACACATGGCAACGACTGGCCATCCACCGAAAGCGGAATGAGTATTTTTGCAAAAGAGGTGAGACTTGTTTACTTGCTTTTGTTTTTTAATACAAATTTTTCTGTTGCAAAACTCGTTCGTTTTGCTGCACCTTTTTAAACAGACAAAAGATAGTTTACACAGCAGTTTTTAAAGAGGTGTTTTTCTTTTTATAGTTAACATTTAGCGGTTGAAAACTAATTTATACGACTTACAAATGTGTGGTAATTTTTTACAATCAACAATGGCTTCTTATCGAAAAGGCATCACAGCAACACTGACATTTTTCCACTTTTCAGGCTTCATACCCAACGATACAAAACACTATGTCTATGTTTTCCCGCCTACCTAGTGCTGAATTATCTATCGTCAGTTTTCGTGAAAAAAATCACAAAAACTCGCGAAAATGTCAGGTCCCTTTGGGAGTTGAAAATGTTTTTATACTTCCGCGGGCAAAGGGCATTCGCTCATTTTGCTGACCTTGGCTACTTTTAAAAAGTTCTTGAATTTTACGAACATACTATAGATGCTAATTTTTCAGTGCAACTGACTGATTGTCGCCGGGAAAATATCCTAAAAACAGTTCTAGTACATTTTTTTGCGTTTTGGGGGACGTAAAAGTGTTGTTATTGACAAAAGTGAAGTCTTTTTGAGAATAACCTTGAACTTCGAAAAGTATGAAGCCATTTTATAATTTATTCTCAGTCAAAATGGCGACATATTGGCACCAAGCTCGCTCGATGTATTTTCGTATGGAAAACACTCCTTAATGGCTTAAAGTACTACTGTGGCCTCTTAATGGCTTAAAGTACTACTGATGTATGCTTCGCTGAAGCATTTTGGCGTTTTAAGATTTAAATTTTGTGCGAAAAAAGACGCTTTAAAAAGTGTAGGGTTTTTACCCGGTCGGGAAAGGTGACCCCTTGTTTACTTGCTGTATACAATGTTTGTGATTGGGCTCAAGATCAAAGAGAAACACGTGCACGAAACATGGGAATATAACGTTCATGTGCGCTTGCCATGCTAAAACGGGCAAACCATAAATATCTTGTATACACTAGATAGTGCATCTAATTTTTCTGCAATTCAAAAATTGAAGCCGTGATTGCAGACACAGGATATTCCCATGAAATGAGAAGACTCGTATATTTTCTATTTCTTAAACAGGGAACTTATTAAACATTAAGTTAAACCTACTCCAAATACATTTTCAAACTATTCAAATGATGAAAGTTCTTGTTGTTTTTTAAGCGTTTATTAGCGAGTGGGAAACTCCAATATGGCGGTCATCTATTCAAATGGGGGTACCGCTGGAATATTCTTGGCTTCAATTTTACTGAAAGACTAGAGATGCGCTATCTAGTGTATATAAGATATCTATGGGGCAAACATGGAAACGATTTACTTCCCTTGAAATGTAAGGCTTCTACAATCTGAACATAACAAACTTTAAATTAACCAATTTGCTTTTTTCAGAGCATGCTTCAGAGTCCAAAGACCAAAGGAAAGAAATCATTTCAGTCTTATGGTGGCAAAGACGAAGAGGAAAATAGCGATGTGGCAAGTGAAGGCTCTCATATCCCAGTAGCTGCCGTACTTCCTACCGGCAAGGAAATTCTTAGCCCATAAACTAAAATATTGGAACAAATTGCAACGTACAAGATTATAGCTTATAAATTTCTATAAGAACGTAATGGAATGAAAAATATCTAATCGTGCATGCATCTAAGTGAGTCATTAAGCATAATAATTGCTTTTTATGTATAATTTGTATGAAAAAATAATTCCACAAAAATATTATTCCATACATAGTCATTCTTTCTTAATACTCTATTTATAGCAACAGTGAGGTACAGAAATAAACATACTATCACTGAAAGTTGTTGTGTGTTCATGTTTGATCGGTGTGTACCTAACCCTTCTCATAACCCTGATAATTGTGACATCATTTTGAAAAATTCAGAAAACCACCCTCATTTGAGGGCAAGCTATAGACGTTCAGAAATGTTCTGGTATTGACGTTTATATCAATGACTATATTTGTTAAAATTTGCAAAATAGCCTGACCCCCTACTTGTTTTATCTTGTCTGTCTCACCACAAAAGTCATCATCTTCACTTACTGGTTTTTTACATTTTTTTTCGATAATTTGTGGTTATATGCAGTTATCTTGACAATATGCAGATATCTTGACAAATAAATTCAGTGTAATCCTTAAATGTAACCGAGATTTAAACCGACCAGGATTTTCAAAGCTCTAGACATAATAACCGACAAAAAATTTTAATTTATCTGCATGAACTGCGCATTTCTCTATGTGACTGTGCGTCAGGGGCTGGTTGTTCAAAGATGGGTTAGCGCTAATCCTGGGTTAAAATTTAACCTGTTGTTTTAGTTTGTGTATTTCTACACATCTGTTTATTACAAAACTTCAGAGAAGTAAACTGCTATCGATCCAGACAAGATTTCTGAAGAAACATTTCCAAATTTATAGACAAGCTGTCAAGGAGTTTGCTTTGAATTTTAAGTTAACCTAGGGTTAAGCTAACCCAGCTTTGAACAACCGTCCCCAGGAGTATAGATTGCGCGATGACCTTCGTTGACGATGCAAGGTAATCTGTTTTTTAAGTGGGTGGTTCTACACTCGATCTCTAGAGATAAAGTTTGGACCTTATTAGTTCTAAACTGTTCTCCCTAGAGATCCAATAACGGTCATGGATTATTGGTCTAATGTTTTCCTCCATTCAATGAGAAGCTAGCCATGGCAATTGGTCATGCCAATAAACCTGCACTAAAATAGTTTAAAGACAATAGTATAAATACAAATATTTAAAAATTTGCATTTTGTACGACCAGTTGCCATGCATGGTTAGCTTCGCCACTGCGGCAAGGACGATACCGGATAAAAGATGTGGTGTTTCCTATAGAGTTAAACTGGAAGCACTCTAAATCCTCGTATACAGATGAGTAAGATTTTCTTCAAAAGCTTCCTTGACAAGTTTACCTTCTCCTTTTTATTGGGAGGGAGAAAAATGTTCCCGTCGTAGCATACCGGAATTCACGTTTTTGACCAAATTTTTTTTTAAAAGCCGATCGAAATTTCCAAACAAAATGGTGCCCCTTTGATGTTAATTTAATATTTACAGCGACATTAGCTTGTACAAAAAGGGCACTTTTCATCACAAAAAAGGCACTTTTGGTCTTTTGAAAAAATTGGGGGGGGGGGCACGTGCCCCCCCTACGCCCCTGGAAAGGAGGAGTGAAAGGAGGGTGCGCATTGATCAACAGTTATCCATGAAGCGACCTCTAAACATATTTCATCTTTTTCAATTATACACAAGTGCAAATTAAGTGCATCAGATTAAGCTTCGTTCGTTTTAAGTACGAGTGGGAAGCAAAATTCAATAAACTTTAGGCGCTAATTTAACCGCCGGCCTCGGATTAGCAATGCATGGCTCCTGTACAACCGAACCTTAAACTATTCTTTTTCCAAGCTCCTGGTGTAAAAATTCGTAGAAACATCGCCACAGGTTTTAGAAATATCGCCACAGGCTTGGGTATAGCTGGCTAATTTTCCATAAGCTTGCCCTCGTTCCAATTTATTTGTGCGATAAATTTCGTTCCCTGCCTGTCTGCGCGCAGCGAGACTTAATTACCATTAGCCGCCCTAGACTGCAGCTGGTCTTCTGCATGTAATATGTATAATATCGAACAGACAAGCCCGTGCAGGTTTTATTTAATTGCATTCAGTTGTCGTTACTTAGGGAGGAAAAAACCCTTAAATATTTGTTGTTGCCCGCCAACTGTGTGGCCCGACACCGTACGAGTTTTAATACAGAAAACACGGAACGCGACAACGGAATATTTTGAAGAAGCAAAGACGAATTGATCGTGAAAAATATAAGCAAGTGGACTGCTACATCGCCGTTTAAAATAAAAAAGCAACCGGGGTAAGATCTATATAGCTACATATACTACTATAGTGTAAATAAAATTTGTCTAGACAAAAATTATGCTTTGAAATACCCAAAAAGTATCCTTCTGTTTATGTAATCGTCGCTATGCTCAACATATCATTTTGTTATTCAAATTTTCAACCGGTTTCCAGCAGTCACGCTGACGCATGGAACTCCATGATGTGAAAACTATATGCGTGTTAGTTTTAATTAAACAGTGGGGCTGATATGAGAAAAACGGTAGCAAGATGAAAACACTTCTCACTAACCACTGTATACTCCGTTGTCGATATATAGGCTAGATTTTGAGAGCTTGATATCTTATCATTGAATCAAGTACTTCGCTTTCCTAAAACAATAAGATTCCGTTCATACGCGGGAAAGGAAGTATTCGGAAGATTGTTCAAATTTTTACGATTTTGCCTGTTGATTTTACACGGGTGTCAGTCAACCACACATGCAGTTATAAAGCGTATGGAATTGGATCACGTTTTGCGTATGGATTCAAATTCGCACTGTTGTATATTCTTACAATGGAAATATATATCTTCCTCAAAGATTATATGATGACAGAAACAGTAGCAAGAAACAATATTTTCATTATTTTATATTTTTGTGTCTCTTATAGATCTAGCGATAATTCAAGGATCCGTTTTCGCTAATTGTTGCACACAAGCATGCAATGCCAATGTCATGAACGACCCGTGAATATGACATCAAGGCAACAACCACTAAAACGATTATTTCAATTACAAATTGACGAAATATCCAACAATCTTATCATAAGAAAAACATCTTATTATATGAAAGCTTTACAATGAATAGGTTTAAAGCTAATACGACCTTAAACTATTGTTCATAGAAATGTTTAGGAAGATTATCCAATATATCATGCGGATAATATTCGCCTTGTACGTAAGTACATGACGGAGTAACGGGTCTGAATTATATATGCACAGGCTGATCATTTATTCATTTCTTATCGACCTTCAAAAATAACATATTGGAGATTTCAAGGAAACAGGTAAAACTTTAAGAGGAAAATTCACTTTGACATTTTAGAATGAATAAATTCTTCACTTTAATATTCAAAGGTAATATATTCTTCACTTGTCGCGTGCGTGCTATTACAGGTCTAAGTTACACAGTATACATCTGTTGACAAAGCCCATGACGCGCTATAGATTAAATTTGAGATTATCGCAATTCAAGTTGGACAATTTGGTTTGCTCTGTCATGTAGTTTTAGCGGATTTCGTAACGTCTCGTCCTTGTGATGCCCCTGTAATATACGTATACTACTTATTACACTTCTTAGACTATTCGGACACAGCCCTTATCAATTTGCACACACAGCCAACTAACCGAACGAACTTCCTGCAGCTGGCCAGAAGTTACACTTAAGGTGACTCTATCGCTTATTTAAGGTAGCTCTGCTACTATGAAGCTGTCTAGTGTCTACCATATAAAGCTGTATTCAATGTATGTCCAATTATTTTTACAGCTAATTCCGTTTCCGTGATCAACTTTTCATTATCAGATGAACGGGATGAAGACCAAGGCAGTGGCGTTAGCTTCTAACGCCTACATCATCATTAATGTCAGTGGTCGACGTTTTAAGACAGATGAAAAAATATTGGAAAGATATCCAGGTATAAATACAAAGAGGAAATATTAATGTTGCTGGATTTTTACTGTTATACTGTGTATGTTTTGAAAGTTCTTTTGGGTTAAAATTCCAACGGATAAAAAATATTATCCTTTCTTTCTTGCAGAAACCTTGCTTGGCGGAAAAAGACGGTACTACTACTTCGACTGTAAAAGAGAAGAATATTTTTTTGACCGTGATCCGGATATTTTCCCACACATCCTAAACTTCTACCGCTCAGGAAACCTACACTACCCGCCTAACGAATGCGCCGAACTGTTTGAAAGCGAACTAAGATTCTTTGGAATCTTCACTGAAGACATATCACTTTGCTGTGCGGAGAACTATGAACTGTTGAAAAATAAAACTGACAAATATAGAGAAGCGAAATCCAAGCAAAAAATCATGGCGGCCGCTAGAGCTCGAAGATTGAAGCATATAAATGGATATAAAGAGAAACTTTGGTTTATTTTCGAGCAGCCTGGTTTATCAACTCCAGGACTTGTTGTCTGGGGTGTGACAATATTATTCATATTAACAACTGTAGTAAGTTTGATTTTAGAAACTGTCCCAAAAGAGGACGGCACTTGGGGCTCGGAACATCGCGAGGATTTTAACTATTCTGAAACGATTTGCGTTGTATTTTTCACCATCGAATACATCATAAAACTTTACTCTTCGCCAAACCGTTGGACGTTTGTGAAACAGTTTTCAAATATCATCGATCTTTTGTCAATCTTGCCGTTCTATTTTGGCATAATTCTCGGCGACCGTGGTAACAGTCGCTTCTTCGTGATACTGCGCGTGTTGCGAGTTACGAGAGTTTTAAAAATTTCCAAGTTTTCTGCCGAAAAGATGGAACAGCATGGGAATTTACTGAAACAGAATCAAGGTGAACTCACTCCATTGTTAGTGTGCTTTATCACAGTCCTTGTCATCTTCTCCACCGTCATATACTACAGTGAGAAAAATGAAGATAGATTTCCCAACATTCCGGCATGTTTTTGGTACACCATCGTCACGATGACATCGCTAGGGTGAGTCATGGACCGTTTGTTCATAGATCTTCTTAAATTTGCTTGAGTCCACAAAATAGTAGGAGATCGCTTCGTACAACATTTAGTCATTTAGCGTAACGATAGTCGGGTAGTGACAACCAATCACGATCCAATGATCGCACTGTCTTTTCGTTGTTTTGAAAATCCCACTGTCCTCCATGCCATCCTGTCGCGATCCAGTGATCTGCCTTTTCATTGTTTTGAGAATCCTACTGTTCTCCATGCCATCCAGCCACGATCCAGTGATCGCAATGTTCCATTGCCTTTTCATTGGTTTGAATATCCCACTGTCCTCCATGCCATCCAGTCACGATCCAGTGATCTGCCTTTTCATTGTTCTGGGAATCCTTCTGTTCTCCATGCCATCCAGTCGTGATCCAGTGATCGCAATGTTCCATTGTCTTTTCATTATTTTGAAAATCCCACTGTCCTCCATGCCATCCTGTCGCGATCCAGTGATCTGCCTTTTCATTGTTTTGAAAATCCTGCTCGGTTCTCCATGCCATCCAGTCGTGATCCAGTGATCAGAATGTTCCATTGTCTTTTCATTGTTTTGAAAATCCCACTGTCTTCCATGCCATCCAGCCACGATCCAGTGATCTGCCTTTTCATTGTTTTGAAAATCCTACTGTTCTCCATGCCATCCATTCGTGATCCAATGATCGCAATGTTCCATTGTCTTTTCATTGTTTTGAAAATCCCACTGTCTTCCATGCCATCCAGCCACGATCCAGTGATCTGCCTTTTCATTGTTTTGAATATCCCACTGTCCTCCATGCCATCCAGCCACGATCCAGTGATCTGCCTTTTCATTGTTTTGAAAATCCTACTGTTCTCCATGCCATCCATTCGTGATCCAATGATCGCAATGTTCCATTGTCTTTTCATTGTTTTGAAAATCCCACTGTCTTCCATGCCATCCAGCCACGATCCAGTGATCTGCCTTTTCATTGTTTTGAATATCCCACTGTCCTCCATGCCATCCAGCCACGATCCAGTGATCTGCCTTTTCATTGTTTTGAAAATCCTACTGTTCTCCATGCCATCCATTCGTGATCCAATGATCGCAATGTTCCATTGTCTTTTCATTGTTTTGAAAATCCCACTGTCTTCCATGCCATCCAGCCACGATCCAGTGATCTGCCTTTTCATTGTTTTGAATATCCCACTGTCCTCCATGCCATCCAGCCACGATCCAGTGATCTGCCTTTTCATTGTTTTGAAAATCCTACTGTTCTCCATGCCATCCATTCGTGATCCAATGATCGCAATGTTCCATTGTCTTTTCATTGTTTTGAAAATCCCACTGTCTTCCATGCCATCCAGCCACGATCCAGTGATCTGCCTTTTCATTGTTTTGAATATC